GAGAGACGGAGAGGAGACAAGAAGAGGGGTGGCAGCTGATACAGGGCTCCGCCAGTGGGCGACCGGAACGGAGTGTGATGGGGAAGCCACAGACTGTACAAAACGCACGTCTCACTCGAGGGAGCTGGGATGTTTCGACACCTGGCCAGTCAGTCTTGGAGAGCCGCTCAAGGGATTTTAAGTCCCTGGCACTCGCTGCCTGCCTTATGCACTGGTTCTAGAAAAGCCCTCAGCTCAGGGATGAAGAAATCGGCAGGTTGGCAGGTGACTCAGGGGTGTGGGCACGGCTCTGACCGCCATCTTGGTCACTTCTGGATTCCCCAGAGCTGGGAATACCAACCGGTACGTGTGGCAACTCAGTAAGTACTGGCTCAGTGACGAGCAGATGAATGACAATAAAGACCACCTGCACATCCCCTGGAGACTAGGAGACATTTTAGGTTCATGGACGAGAGATGCAAACACAGCAGCGTGTGCACAGCCTCAGGGGGCTGGAATATTCTTTGAGGGAGCCGTGGAGATGGAATCAAGACAGTAATCCTATTTATCAAGCTTTAATTGAGCAGATCAGAGATTTCAACTCCCATGATAGCTGGTGTGTCAAATATCCTGGCCACTTTCACCACAAACCAGGGCTTTTCAACCTCACATAAGGCTCATGGCAAGTTCGCTTCCTGGGCCCCACACATAAGGCTCATGGCAAGTTCGCTTCCTGGCCCCCCCCCCTCCTCAGACCTGCTGAGTCAGCACTTCTGGGAGTGGCCGGCTCTTATGGTGAAATGGACAAATACTCAGAGCTAAGAATCAAGTCTTAAAAATCAATGGTTTTACTTACATGTACTTTATCTGGATATAGCACAAAGGACAAGGAGAAAAATACATCAAACGATTTTCATATTTTCCAAGCTTAACGTTCTTTAGACTCTTCAGTTCACTGAAGAAGAACCAGTGCATTCCTCATTTAAACATGTAAAATATCCCTAATTTTCATCTAGCCTGGGGCGTTTTATTTTTATTTTTTTACGTTTTTTTTGCTATAGGGCATATGTGCTCGCTGGAGAGACAGAGAGACAGAAAGTGAGAAATCAACCCCTGGAGGGATGGCCACGCCACAATTCCTTCTCCATTCTCCTCTCAGGATCTTGGGCACACGCTTGGAGTGAGGTTTAAGCCACTGGGTCTGGGGCTTGAACTATGGTCGACTACATGGGAGTCCAGCCTTGTAACCATTACACCAACTGCTGGCCCCTAGTTCTGTTTTAACATGACCCTAAAAGCAAGTTCAGTTTTCATTTTGAAGTATTTTAGACCTACGGGAAAGGTGTATATGTTAGTTCATTATTGAGTCACTAACAGAAATACCTGAGACTGGGTGATTTATAAAGAAACGGGCTTAATTGGGACCAGCAGTTGGCATAATGGCTATGTCTCTGGACTCCCATATAGCTGACTGAGGTTTGAGTCCCAGACCCGGTGACTTAAACTCACCCCCTGGGGGGGTGATTTCTCGCTTTCTGTCTCTCTGTCTCTCTCATCTTTCTGGTGAGCGCATGCATCCTAGAGCAAAAACCTCTCAAAAACAAAAACGAAACAAGAAACAAGAAACGGGCTTAATAACTCACAATTCTGACAGCTATAAGGTTCAAAGGCACAGGCTGGCAAGAAGCTGGCCCGCAACGTGCCTGACAGAGGCGGAGGATGGCGGCCCGTGCAGAGAGCTACCGAGCTGCAAACTCCTTTTTACAGCAACCAGCTCTTGGGGGAACTAACCCCTTTTTGCAAGAGCCGGAACTCCCTGGATCTTGCAAGACATCATTAATCTATCCTTGAGAGTGTTGCTTCCATGATACAATCACTATGATCCAATCACCAATCACTGGGCTTCACCGTCTCCCAACGTCAAAGTCCAAAACATGAAACTTTGAGGGACAAACCATTAGCCAAGCCACGACAGTGTACAAACCATACTCAGATTTCCTGTACACTTACAGCAGGTTAATTCTTAACTCAGCCTACATGAAACTAAGAGAATCAAAATAGTAGCCATCTGCTATGGTTTGTGTTCCCCAAAACTCATGTGCTGAGACCTCACCAACAGGAGAATCTATGAGATGTGGCCCCAGACCTTGGGCTTCCAAACCCTGAGCTGAGTAAACTTCTATTTTTAGAAATCATCCGGTCTCACGTGTTTGTGTTAACAATGTAATAGTGGACGAATAGCCACATTCATCTTTTTTTTTTTTTTTTTAGAGAGATTTTTGCTATAGGATGTGTGTGCTTGCTGGAGAGACAGAGACAGACAGAAAGACAGAAAGCAAGAAATTAGCCCCCTGGGGGATGGCCACGCCACAATCTCTTCTCTTCCATTCTCCTCTTGGGATTTAGGGCACATGAGCCTTGTGTGAGTTTTAAGCTGCGTGGTCTGGGACTTGAACCATGGTTGACTATGTAGGAGTCCAGCGATGTAAGCATTATGCCATCTTCTGATCCCCAGCATTCGTCTTTATAGGGCTGACTTAGTTTGAATTCATAAGCATTTATAAAGCCCCCACTGTGTGCTGGGCTCTTAGCACTGGGGATACAGAAGTGAGCAAAATGCATTTCTCCTTTGAGGCGATCGTGGTCTGGTGAAAGAACACACATATTTGCATTCATCTATCCCAGATTCAATAGTTGGTGAGTGTTTGGGGCTCAGGGCAAGATTGAACATAGGAGGGGCCTTCAAAAACATCATAAAAAGGGGAATTAGGATAGTTTATTTGGTATAAACCATTGTGAAATCCATGCATAGTTTTTGTCATAATACGTGTGTCACATGAGGTTTTGGAAGACCCCTCGTACACCACCACGACAACCAGGGGACCCCTCCTGCTCTGTTCGTGTCCCTTCCTGTACACGTCCTCCCAGTGGCTTTCTACAAGCTCTGGCCCTGCAGTCTGCAGACCCAGGGAATGAGAGGCCAGGTGCCTGATGGGGCCTCTGTATGTGAATGGGCTCCCTGGTTGCCCAGTTTAAGGGGGATATGTAAGGGAAGAGCCCAGACAACTGATCGGGGGCTCTGTCTACCTGGTGCACACTCCCGAATCCGGGCGCGTTGGTCAGTCCATTTGCTCCTTGATAGATCCCCGCTGTGCCTGCAGGAAGGAGGAACAGGGCACAGATTAGCGTGGCGTAGAGGAGAAGCATACAGCAAGGTGGAATCTTTGAGGTCTGCCAGGCTGGGAGGGCACCTGTGACCCTGGTTACCAAATTGCTAAACTTCAGTGTCCTCAGTCAATGAGGAGAATAAATAACATCTTTTTCAAGGGGTGCGGTGAGAAATGAGTGAGATGATGTACACAGCACAGATTCTGGTCTCACGACGACAGTGCTTGTGTACAAGTACATAGAGATGGGGTGAGAGAGAGAGAAACGAGCCCCCTTCACGAGGTCTGCTCTCACGCCTTGATCCTCCTCCTGCAATCCGCTAGCCCACCCGACCCTGGGCACTGTGCACATGCCTGGCGTGTTTCAGGCTCACTGGGCCAGGGATTCAAACCGTGGTCACCATGTGGGATCTGGCTTCTTCCAAGCAGTGCATTAACACTGTGCCAAAGAGCTGACCCAATAATAATAATTTTTTTGAGCAAGATTTTTGCTGTAGGGTGCATGCCCTTGGTGGAGAGACAGAGAGACAGAAAGTGAGAAGTCACCCTCCGGGGGGAATGGTCACACCACAATCCCTTCTCCATTCTCCTCTCAGGATTTTGGACACACACATAAACACACACACACAGACCTGGCGTGGGTCTGGGACTCAAACTGAGGTCAACTACATGGGAGTCCAGTGACGTCATAACCATTATGCCACCTGTACTTCCCAATAATTATACCATCGTAAACACCGTGGTGCTGTCCATGCCAGAACCCATCTTGGCAACGTTTCTATCTTGTGAAATTGGAACTTCAGACCCATCAAACAGCTGTCCGTTTCTCCCCACCCCAATCTCTGGCCACGCCGTTCTCCTTCCTGACCCCGTGAACTAGGCTGCTCTACGAACATCATGAACACCAGGGGAATCCTACTTGGATTTGTAATACAAAAGTATTTGCCTTTGTGTGACTAGTTTATGTCATCTAGCATAATACTTTCACGCTCATCCACACGACAGCGTGTGTCCGAATTTCCTTCCTTTTTAAGGCTGACTTCCATTCTACTGTGTACATATATTTTGTTTATCTGCTCATCAGTCACTAGACATTCGGGTCACTTCCGTTTTTCGGCTATTGTGAATAATGACAAAATAATGAACAGGAGAGTAGAACTCTCTCTTAAAAACCCTGCTTTCAATTCTTTCGGGTATACACCTGGAAGTGTAATTGCCGAGTCAAATGGTCGTTCTATATTTTAAGTTTTGAAGAATCTTTGTCCTGATTTTGACAGGGTACGCCGATTTACATCACCACTAAAAATGCACAAAGGTTTCAATTCCTCCACATCCTTGTCAATCGTTACTATTTAAATTTTTTATAGTGGCATCCTGATGGATTGAGGGGTAACATTTATGTTTGAAATAAATGAATGGATTGACTTTTCTCTCTGAGTTTCCATTGCCCTGTGAATAAAATGCGGGTAAAAGTGATACTGTTACCACCGGCAGTACAGCTCACGCTAGCTGGTGTTAGCTGGTGCACACGTGGGATGAACCGATCAGTGGGTGGCATTTACCATGCAGCGGGCAGGCCAGGCCTCTCTGAGACAACATTTACTCTGAGACGTGAACAATAAGAAGAGGCCAGTGACAGAAGCATTCTGGGAAAGAGAACTCACAGACTTCGAAGGCCAAGATGCTAAGGTAGGAATTACCACATGGCCATCTCTGGTTCGAATCTCAGTTCCTCTAGTTTGTGAATGCTGGGTCTAGGAAGACAAAATGATGGAAGAGTCCTGTGTCCCTGACATAGTAATACACAACAGTGAAGTGTCCTGGACCCACGGGGCCCCGCAGACAAGACGGTGGAGGTCTCAGATACAGCCTGGGTCCCAGTGACACAAACACACCAGGATTAAGATTCCAGATTCCAAACTTCTAGAGAGTTTGGGAAATGCTCCAAGAGACTAAAACGAAGCTTTCTTAGCATCCCAGGAGGACGGTGGCTTAGAACAGAAACTGCACTGAAATGCTGAAAATAAAGTCTGCTCTATTTTTTACCCCCTTGAGCTCAAAGACTGAGATTTCTCATACCTGCTATCCATGGGACAGAAGGGTTCTTTCAACTTTTCTTTTAAAAATTCACTTATTTTTTCAGACAGAGAGAGAGAGAGAGAGAGAGAGAGAGAGAGAGAGAGAGATCTCCGACAGAGTCCTCATGCCACGATCCACCCCAACAAGGTCATGGGCATTCATGTTCTGCCTCTGGCCCCAGAGGGGTTCTCTATGGCCTTGGAACTGCACCGCACCTCCACTGCGACCGCAGAAGCCAGCCACGCCCTCTGCCTGCACCTCTGGGCTAGCAGTCCATTCTCCCAACCCCAAACTCTTCTTTCTCTTTCTTTGTTTCCTTTGTTCTCTATCACTCCACAGACAATAATTCCCACGGGTTGGATGCACGTCCCTCAATGTGTATGCGTTCTCGTGAAACACAGACTAGCGTTTGGGGGGCAGGTATTAATTCCTGTCACTTCCACGTGATCTGTGTTCACACAGTTTCTGTTTTTACCCAGAAATAAGGTGTAAGACCCTCTGTGCATGCATTCTTCGTATCTCTCCTGCTCACTGCCCCAGGGAGGGCACTGGGGTGGCCCCTCTGCCCGCCACAAACACGGCTGCTGTGAACGTCCTCATGCCTGTGCCCTTGTGAGCCTGTGTGCAAGCTTCCCCAGGACACAGCCTAGGAGTGGGCTGCTGGGTCCTGAGGTTGTCCAGACCCATTTCCCTGCGGGCTGGGTGGGACTCTCAGGACACCTGCCAGCCCGTGCTTGGTTCCCAGATCCCGTGTTCTCTCCAGCACTCGGCATGAATGCTAGCTCGGTTTTGCTGTCCTGGCACTAACATGGTCTCCTCCACGATCTGGTTCACAGTTCTCGGCAGTGGTGACACCTCACACCCCTTCTTGGCGTTGCTGCCCTCTGGATTTCCTCCTTTTAAGGAGATGATGACAGTTACCATGAACACCCTCCTCTCTGTCCTGGGCCACATCCAGCTTCAATGCAATCCAAGTCCTTGAAGCCTCTCGTAACTGGCATTAGCCATCAAATAATAAGAATGTCACCACAGCCTCCATGTATGGTACGCTATCTCCCCCAAGGCGAGCCATCTCATGTGCATGGTTGGCTTTCATCGCCGTCACAACCCCAGGAAGTAGGTCCTCCTGGGGGGCAGCAGAGCGGGGATCCAGGCTGGGTCTCTGACTCTGGAGCCCAGACTCAGCCTATCTCCCAGCTCCTGTGGGGAAGGGCACAGGCCGCTTGCTGCCTCAGTTCTTCTGGACCAACCTAAAGTGACCTCAGATCAGCCACACCGTGTCTCTGACATGCCCGTCAGAATAAAGCCACGGCAGGAGGGAGGAGGCGGCCCAGGACAGCACAGCGCTGCAAAGGATAATGCAGTCCCAGGGCAAACCACGGGTGCTGGTGGGGACAGCTGTCCAACACGGGCGCGAGGAGGAAAGTGGCAAGTTGCAGGAGCAGGAGGCTGTCCCAGCATGCACGAGACAGCATGCCTGTCTGCTGATTTCAGTTAAGTGGGGAATTAATCATGTGAGGAGCTTCTTAGGCAGGTGCGTCTGAGTGGAAGCTAAATGAATAGGAAGGAGCCAGCCACGTGAAGGTGAGGAAAGGGCATTTCAGGTGAGGGAAACAGCGGGGGCGAGAGCCCTGAGCTGGGAGAAACTGCAAGAAGCCAGCGTGAGAGAAATGAAGGGGAAAAGGGAACAGCTCGTGAGAGGAGGTCGGGTTCTTCAAGGCTGAATCCTACAGGGTCTGGGTAAGGTGGGTGTGGAGGGAGTGGTCACAGCAAGACACTGGGGTTTATTTCTGATTGCAATGAGAAACCTTAGATGGGGTTTTTTATTTGTTTAATTTATTTTTAGAGGGATTTTTGCTATAGGATGAATGTGCTCACTAGAGAGACAGAGACAGAGAGAGAGAGAAAGTGAGAAATCACCCCCTGGAGGGATGACCATGCTGCAATTCCTTCTCCATTCTCATCTCAGGATTTTGGGTATGCACACACATATGCCCAGTGTGAGTTTCAAGCCACCAGGTTTGAGACATGAACTGTGGTTGGCCAGGTGGAAGTCCAGCCCCTTAACCACCACACCACATGCTGGCCCCAATGGGGGCTTTTAAACAGGAGCGTGATGAAATCTGATACAGCATAGGAAAGGAACAGCCGTTTGACTTCCCCCAGTGTGTTGGAAACAGATCAGGGGATCACAGTGGACCCAAAGGCCCAATGCACTATTCTCCCCATCAAGGATCTCTGGAGGGATTCTCAGGAATGGTAACCAGAAAGATCAGAGTTTCTGAGACAAACGATTCATGCTGCAAAGCAATTTGTGCTGGTCTAGTCCCAGGGCAGTAAAACAGTTAGAGGTGTCTACACTTCCCTGGTGGAAATCCGACAGAAAGGGAGCATGTGACCCAGGACTGCAGTCCCCTGACCATAACCACTGCTTTAGGGGTGCGCACCTAAACTAAGCAGGTTCATCCAGAGGGGTTCTGGTGGGGTCACCAGGGAAGGTTCTACATCTGAGCAGCCCTGCAGGAGGTAAGAAATTGGAAGCAACTTGCAATTTATAACTCACACATTGTAGGTAGGAGAGCTGGGATTCGACTGGGGGCGGGCAGAAGAGGGGGTCAGACAGCGCCAGGGGTCCATTGTTTTTCATCTCAGTGTTCTCCCACTTCCAACCTGCTATAGTTTCCACCCCACTGGAAGGTTCGCTCATAGTTTCAATAGGTGCTTGCTTGAATCTCGTTGCAATTCCGCTCCCTCTCTCCCTCCCAGTGTGCCCCAGACACTGTCTGCTATACCTTCTGATTCCCGGACAGTACATGGCTGTCTGCTGGGCTGTTTCGATCTTAGTTTGTGTTGCCGGCCATGCGCACTGTGGACACACTGCAATGGCGAAGCCCCATAAATGCACTTTT